TTCCTTAACAGCAACCCAGGATTGTTGCTGGTCGGGGCGAGACCTTGGTGGGTAACTTTTCGGGCAGGGCCTTGAGCTTTGCCGTTCGACGGGGCGGTGGCGAGCCGCGAGTGCTGTCCTACCCGAGCAAGAGTGTGGCTTTGCACACACAGCCCTGTCTGATCTTCAGATCTGACAGTAATGCTGAGGATTTGGAGGGATTTGCTGGAGCAGGTCTCTTCGAATCTGTTTGTGCAGAGGAGGACAAGGGAGGATTTCAGCGCCTTCATCGATTAGCCATTGTAGAGGATGCCAACTACAGAAGAGAGTTATTGAAACGCATCGCAGAAGTCGGCTGGGCCACTGAGCAGGCCTTTGATTGCGTGCCGCAAGATATCGAAGGATGTGTGGATGTCTCAGACCGTATTTTCATTGTACAAAGCCGGCCTCAGGTGTAGATCCAGAGATTTTTCGTTTGCAACTCGATTTCAAAAGGGATGTGCCAGTGCTGAAACAGCGCAGAGCGCTGCGGCTCTGCCTTGTTAGCCAGGGTTGCCTGCCCTGTTAGGGGAGCGGTGTGATCGGTCACGGGCCCTTTGTAGCTGCTGAGCTTTTTTTTGAAACAGCGCATGCGTGCGACTGGTAGCTGCACCAGCGAAGCCCATGCTCCTTCGAATCAAAACAAGCTTAGAATGAGTTGTACTAGATGGCGCTTGAACCTGTGTGTTCCCCTTTGCACATCCCTTTGACAGTCTGAGCCCTGACTTCTGCGATCAATCCTTGCTGATCCACAGCAAAGCGGACATGACACGGCAAGCATCAGTAGTTCCCTGCCTCATAAGGTCCAACACGGGCTTGACCTTCCGTGGATGTTCTGGACCGGGAGACATCAAGGAGCATCTTGGATGGCAAGCAGCATTTCCCCTATCACTTCTATGAGCAGAGCAAAAGGTGATGTGCCTTGCATGTTTGCAAAGCAATGCTTCACCTGTGGGGTGTCGGGAAGAATTGGATTGGTAAAATCTCGGAGGATATCCATAAGGGCCCTAATGTCGAGTGCTGACGGGTCTAGACGCGAGATTTCAGCATCTAAGGACATTATGCCCTGCAATCTGCTGATACGCGCTCGCGAGTCCTGGCAGAAAGCTTATGTTAATCCAGTAGTTTACCTTTACCGATCATAGAAAGCGTCCAAGACACACCCCAAGCTGGGCCTTGCAGAGCTAGGCCCAAGGCCTAGTGAAATTCAAGCTGGGGACTGTACAGATGGCCCCGTTGAATAAGTCTGCAGCTCCTTGTCGGTGGCATCCAGCTGTATGCAGGGCCTTCACAACAGTGATGCCCTTTCTGGTTTCGAGATGCTCTTCAAGGTTGCTTTCACCTCGAATTCTCTGATGCAGCTGAGGTTCGCGTGCCGCGCAAGAAAAGAAAAGACCTTGATACATACATGCTGCTGTGTGATGATGCTGCGGCGACGTGCAGCCAAAATAGCAGTTGTGGCCTGGGGTCATGAAGCCAGATCTACGCAGATCTAAGGGGGGGTGATCTTTGTACCAATGTGGGTGAAGAGAGATTGGTAGTTGATTCCAAAGTCCTGATCCCAAAATTGCCATGATGGAAAATATTCTCCCCAGCACCTTTTGATAAAATCCTTATGTAACCCTAATTGACCCCTTGTATAACCCCTATATAACCCCTACATAAGCCCTATATAACCCCTATGTAACCCTTATATAACCTCTATATACCCCCAAGATAGCCTGTACATAATCCCTATAGAACATACATCTCCTCGTCTGACCCCGGAAGGCGCGAGTACTGGCGAACCTGGAGATGAAGCTTTCGAAGCTGCAGGTGGGCCTGCGAGGTTTCGGAAGTATGTTATGTAGGGGTTATACAGGGTTGGGGTTATCTAGGTGTGCGGGAGATTAGGTGGGGTAGTATAGGGGCTAGGAAGCCAGCCCTAAACCTTATAAAACCCACTATAGTAGTTTCAATTTTCTTTTCTACTATCCCCATACAACCCCAATATAACCCTAATGTTATCCCACATTCTATGAGGGGTACCCGAAACATCCCGAAGGCTGCTCCCTATCCTACTGCCAACTCAGAGCACACGATCACGGATTTAGGGCTCCGGGCATGTGAGCCATAGTCTAAGCTCCTTAAAGGGGGCTATATAGGGGATTATATAGGGGAGTAGTATACGGGTTATTAAGGGGGATACTAGGAGTGTAGACTATAGCTCATGTGAGCTAATTTCAGATCTACTTCGCAAATTCAGGTGCCAGCACTGACGCTGGGGGCCCCCCCTTTCTTGCTTACACGCCTTCAATACTAGCCTGATTCTTGTTGGTGTCCTTTCTTTTATTGCATGAGTATTGTTAGTCTTCCTCTCTCTGCTCATTCTCCTCAGTTGCTGCAGCGGCTGCCGCTGCCACTGCTGCTGCTGCTACACTACCTGTGTTGGGTTTCAGATTACGACTATCACGAAAACTCTAAGGGAATCCTCGCGCTGCTCTTAGGGCAACCTTGCGGTGGGCTCGGAAGATAACATCTGTTTAGTAAGGGTTCTCGTGGAATCCTGCGGCAAGGATGCCTGTGCCCGCTTCGACGGCCGCACCACTGCAGCTGAGGCACTTCATGCATTGCAATCCGTGTAGGCTCCTGGGATATTTAATATTTTCTCTTGTGGGTTTAATAAGGGACCCTATATACTAATATTTTTCAAAGGGTTTTAGGGGCCAACCCAGCAATCTTTGGTGGACGCCCTGGTGATTACCGTGATTTAGACGGTTTCATACAGATGCCTGTAATGGTTGTGAGGATACATGTGCAAAGCTGTCATAGCAGTTATCTCAAGTGGGCTGGGCGCCCCGGTGCGAGGAAGCTGGGAAACACAATAAAGTTGCAGGGAGCTTTGGGGGTTGAAGTTCATGGCATAACGGTATGGCACCTCAAGGATGTAGGGTTTAAGGATTTTGGTAAGGATTATGGTTTACGGCTTCAGGAGTTTAGGGTGTTAATAATGTAGATATCATATCATAGCCATACCTGCAATGGTTTCCCACCCCTGGACCCGGATTCATGTTTTGGAAAAGGGTGCCATTCCTAAACCTGAACCGTAAATCCTACTTCATGGAAATTCTGCGCGACCAGCCAGGAGGCACTCGAGAATCGAGCTCAGCAAGTCTCCGATCAGTTTCGCGAGGCACTCCTGTCACAAGTTTTGGTAGGGAGCATTAGGCACTGTACGCTGTACAGCATGTTTTGGCGCACTTCTTCTTGCAAACAGGTTCTCGGATACACGCCCCAAACACGATGAGTCATAGTGTCTGTGGAAATTAGGAGGATCTTGCAAGGGGCTGCAAGGCTGGATGGGGTTGAGACATTCAGGGCTTCGTAAACTCTACGTTGAAAAAGATCCCGTGTGTTTGTCCTTCATCCGTATGGTAAGCCTGCCTGTATCGTGAAAGGTTGCACGAATCCTTGATTCTTCAAACCCAACCCTGTGTGGAGGTTCTTGGGACATTTGTGGGTAGAACTCGCCTGACTCAACTAGGTTTTTCAGTGGCATACGCATTTTACTTCTTGGGCTTCTAAGTTCCTAGTATATTACTAGTATTTAAGCCTTAATATGTTTTTCCAACAGGCTACTGAACAGCCTAGGAAGATGGTTGTCATTCTCTTCAGGTTTAGACCACCCGACTTGTAGCTACACAACCTTAAATGGCTCCATACAGCCCTCCTATTCTATAAATGATACCTGAAATTTCATGTTGATGGACAGCGTGCTGCATGACCCTAAACCCTAGACCCTGAACCCTATGCCCAAGCCCTGGGACTGGGTAGTACAAGGAACCTAGTGTCGCGTGGATTTTGTTCATCCACCATGCCCCTAAATCTCCTGCGCATGGGCGGAGGAAATTAGGGGTTTAGGGTCTAGGATCCCCAAAGTACTGTGAATACCAGAAGTTGGTGAGGCCCTGGCCCAGACCCTATAGAAACCTTAAACCCTAAACACTAGATAGTAGTTTCCATTTTCCTTTCCATTATTCCCATAGAACCCCCCGCATAGCCCCATTGTTCCTACATTCCTATCTAATCCCCCACATAACCCCTATTCAAACCCTAAACCCTAAGCCCTATACCCTAAACCCTAAACCCTATACCCTAAACCCTAATCCCCAAACCCCCTAAACCCCCTAAACCCCTAAACCCCTAAACCCCTAAACCCCTAAACCCTAAACCCTAAACCTTATTCAAATCCTGGAGGTGTCCGAGCAGGCAGCCTCGGCCATCGTCCGGGCGCGCGCCGACCTCACGGAGGCCCTGGGCTCCGTGGGGGAGCCCAGCCCTGGGTTAAGCTGCCCGAATAGGGTATAGGGTATAGGGTTTAGGGTTTAGGGTTTAGGGCCATATATGGATCCATAGATGGGGTTGCATGGGGGTACATCAAGGTGTTTAGGGTTTAGGGTCTAAACTTTTGAAAGGGTGTTATATCGGCGCTCATAATCATAGGGAATTACTATAGGGTTTATTAAGGGGGATACTAGGAGTTTAGACTATGGCTCATATAGGGCCATATAGGGCTCCATAGGAGTATAAGCGGGTATATAGGGTTGCATAGGGGTATATATGGCTGTATAGGGGCTTTATAGGAGTATATACGGTTACATTGGGGTATGTAGCGTTATTGAGAGGTACGGGTAAGTCTTCGGACGCTTCCTGAAAACAAGTTCCATGTTCTGTCTGCTATGGCCCCCATGAACAGCTGGAGGTATGGGTTTTGACCAGGCTTCCAGCAAGGGTAAAGTTTGCGACTATGCAATGTTTTGCCTACATGCTACAGCCCTATATGCCGCTATAGAAGCCTATATAACCTTACATAACCCGAAATAATCCTTATACCCCTATGTTCTTTACGACCCTTTATTTCGAGTACAGGAAGTCGAAGGGCTTTGTATCAAAGAGTTGTGTACTTCATCCATTGGGTGGAGAATCAAGTGGAAAATCAGACGAACATGGAAACTGGGTAGGGATATTCAGAGGGAGGGGAAAGAAATCGGAAACTACTAGAATGGAGAATCAATGGAAAATCAAATGGAAGATGAAATGGAAGCTAGGGTTTATATAGGCGTTGCCTCGGAACCCTTCCTAGTTGCTCTGACCGTCTAGCATGACATGATTCTTTCGCCTTGGCGCGGTCTGGTTTCAACACAGGAGTGTTTCAAATTACCCCTACGTAATCCCCAGGTAAGGACTTCAGAATCCCGTAGTAACTAGCCCCTGTATATGTCTCTGGCGCCCTCACGGCACCGCCTATTCGCATGCTATGCGCATCGCAGCATGGAATGCCCATGGAAGAATAAGAATAAATGTAACCATAACAAAAACAATAACCAGATCAACAACAATACTAGTACCCCTACTAGTGACACTAATACGTATACCTCTA